CACTACCTACTAATACTGTCAGCTTTGGGGGTTAGGATTTCAACATATGAATTTTAGGTGGGCACAAACATTTAAGCCATAGTACCTTCCTTCCTTTCTTCATTCATTCATCAATAAATATTTATTGCTAACCATGGGTTGAGCATTGTTTTAATTATTGGAGACACACCAGTGAACAAGAGACAAGACCCTTATATTCTTTTTTTTTTTTTTTTACGGTACGTGGGCCTCTCACTGTTGTGGCCTCTCCCGTTGCAGAGCACAGGCTCCGGATGCGCAGGCTCAGCGGCCATGGCTTACGGGCCCAGCTGCTCTGCAGCATGTGGGATCTTCCCGGACCGGGGCACGAACCCGCGTCCCCTGCATCGGCAGGCGGACTCTCAACCACTGCGCCACCAGGGAAGCCCGACCCTTATATTCTTGTTGGGAGGGACGTGAATAGAGAAACAAGGAAAGTCAGAAATGATAGTTTTCTCTGCTATGCAGAGAATTAGAATGGGTAATGTGATGGATTGGAGACCGCTTTAGAACTTTAGATGAGGTGATCCCTGAAGCTATCTCTGAGGAGATGACTTTTAAAGTGCAGTTATGAATGCCAAGAAATTAATCACAAGATCTCAGGGAAAGGCATTTCCTAAATAGGAACTGTTTGGTGCAAAGGCAGGAGTAAGCTTTTTGCAGCTGAGGAATAAAAGTTCAAGGAGGGACTTCCCTGGTGGCACAGTGGTTGAGAATATGCCTGCCAATGCAGGGGATGCAGGTTCAAGCCCTGGTCCTGGAAGATCCCACACGCTGCAGAGCAACTAAGCCCGTGCGCCACAACTACTGAGCCTGCACTCTAGAGCCCGTGAGCCACAACTACTGAGCCCATGTGCCACAACTACCGAAGCCCGCGTGCGTAGAGCCCACGCTCCACAACAAGAGAAGCCACCGCAATGAGAACCTGCACACCGCAACGAAGACCACAATCAGAGAAAGCCCACACACAGCAGTGAAGACCCAACGCATCCAAATATAAATTAAAAAAAAAAAAGAAGTTCAAGGAGGCTGGGGCATAGTAAGCTAAGTGTTTATAAGTGGAAGGCAGAGAAGCAGGCAGGGCCAGATCGACAGGTTGTGTGAGCCAGGATAAGGTATTTGGATTTTATTGTGATTGTGATGGGGAGCTACAATCAAGAAAGGCAGTGACATTCTTTAATTTGCACTTTTAAAAGTTGTTTCTGGCTGCTGTGTAGTGAATGGGTTATAGGGAAGCCAAAGTAAAAGCAGAGAGACCAACCAGGAAACTATTCCAATAGTCTGGACAGGAGATGAAGGTGCTGTGGGCTGAGGTGATAATGGAAAGAAGTAGCAAATTTGGGGTATGTTTTGGAGGTAGACATGTCAGGATTTTCTGATGGATTGGATGGAGGGAGGGGATGTGATGAGATAAAGAGGGAAACCAAAGATAACGTCAAGATTTCTGGTTTGATACAACTTAGTAGCTGGGGGTAGGACATACTGAGACAGGATAACTGGTGAAGAAGCAATTCTGAAAATAAAAATGAAACAGTTTTGTTTGGGTCATATTAAGTTTGAGATGCTCATTAGACATCCAAGAAGAAATATGAAGTAGATGGTTTGTCATACAAGTCTGGAAACCTGGGGAGGTTCAGCACTGGAGATACAGACTTGGGCAGACAAGTGAAATTTACAGCCAGGAGACTGGTTGAGATCACTTCTGGGCCATGTGCCATAGACGAAAGGAGGGGCCTAGAACAGAGTCGGGGGCTCTCTAACATTAAGATATGCGGTAGAGAAGTCTTCAAACAAGTTTTAGAAGGAATGGTCATTGAGGAGAAAAACCAGAAAGTATACTGTCAAGGAAGTCAAGAGAATAAAATAATTCAAGGAGAGAGTGGTCTCTTGTTCTCAGTGTGAACAAGACTCAAATAAAGTAAAAAAAAATAATAAAGTCATTACTGGATTAGGCAACATGTACATCATTAGTAATCTTAATATGAGCAGTCTCATTGGAGTAGATGAGAAGGAGACTTGATTGGAGTGGGTTAGGAAGAAAATGCAAGGTAAGACAGTGAAAGTACTATAGGTGTGAAAGCCACTTTGGGGATCTAAAAGAAGACAGGAGGAAAGTATAACAGGATTGTTGCTGGACTGTATTGAGTGTCTGAGATCTATCTGTGGCTGTTAATGTAAAATGAGCCCAGCAGCTTCAGCTGTATACATGTATCTCTAGTGATATTCAGCAGCTCCTGTACAGCACAGAGGAGCTGGGTAGTCAAGTTCGGGTTCTGCTAGACAAAAACAACAGAGGAAGAGAGAGCTGAAGTTAAGCATATTTGCAAAGGGTGGCGGTGCTATAAAGTTGGATCATAGCTTTAATCTGGGTTTTGACGGAAATGAGGACGCTAGGGAAATGGCCGATAGTAAGAACGTTAAGAAGGGCCAATGGACTGGAGGTCATGATGGAGTCAAAGAATTGATGGAATGTTGATGTAAAAGAGTAAATGTATAGGAACTAGCAGCCAGATGCGTAAATAGGAATGTTTTGTGTGGGAAGCTGCTACATTAGTGAAGGATATTCTTACATGATTATGTCTCATCCACTGCTTATTTTCTTGGAGTTTTCAGTCCCCTAGTATATTATTCCAATGATGGAGTTATCGTAAGCTGCAGGGGAGTGCACAGATTTTTGAATAACCCATCTAGCTAAGCAGTAGATGAGAGTCTATTATATTAGTCAAAAGATTCCACTGGAGAATTCCAGTGGAGAAGGCCTTAGCATGTGACATTAATAGGCAGCTTTAAACTAATTTTTGAAAAATAAAAACAAATGTCACTTTAAAGGGAAAAAACTGCTTCCTTTCTCTACTTACAAGACTTATGACACCAAATGTGTGGAGTTTTTTTCCATACCAAGCAATTCTCCAATTCCCTGCACACCAACAGTGAGTCCTACAATTTAATTCAGTTCTGGCACTAACAACCCAGAGTTAGCACAGACCCCACAGACTAAAGGCTCAGTCCCACCAAGAATGCCCCCTACTTCAGATACCAGTTGAAACTTCCAGGTTGTCATCTGTACTTTGGGCCAACTGGCTATAAATTGGGTGCTCCCACAACACTCTCCCCAGCTTTGATAATTTGCTATACTGGCTCACAGAAATACTTTACTTACTATTACCGGTTTATTACAAAGGCTACAACTCAGGAACAGCCAAATGGAGGAGATGCATAGGGCAAGGTATGGGGGTAGGGGTGCAAAGCTTGCCTATTCTCTCCAGACACTTCCTCCTCCCAGCATCTTGATGTTCCTCAATCTGGAAGCTCTCCACACCTCGTGATTTAGGGTTTTTATGGAGGTTCCATTACATAGACATGATTGATTATATCACTGGCCAATGGGGATTAAGTCTTGAAGTTCCTCTTGGCTCCAGTAGGTGGGCCAGAAAATTCCAACCTTCTAATCATGACTCAGCCCCCACCCTAAAGCTATCTAGGGACACCCAACCACTCAGCAGATCAAACATTACACCAAAAGATGCTCTTATCACCCTATCACTTAGGGGCAGAGACCAAATCTATTCAATATATTTATTATGTCACAGTTTTATTACTCTGCTTCAGTGAAAATATTTCCCATACTGTCTGAAAATAAAGTACCTGTGTCTGAAAAGGTGGAAAAATGTGTGCTTTGCTATGTTTGCCTGGAAGTACTTAAGTGCACTATCATCAATAGTGATTAATAATGTATGAGTTGTAGGCACGACTGTTTTGCTGCACTACAGACACGACACACATTAAAAAACAGACATGTTTTGGATGGAAACAATATATTACATCATATAATGCTTTATTTACATTTTACAAAACGCTTTTACATTAAGTAATTTGAAAATAAGATTTGCTGCATTTTTTTCAGAAGATCTGTGGGTATTTTCTGATAAGCGCTCCATTCATTGCTTGGTAGACTTCAGATCCCCACCCTCCCCTCCCACCCCCAGCAAGGTTAGTTGCATTATTCTCCTCCTCCAACTTAAACATTATTAAAGGCTTCTCTTTCCCCCGCTCAGGGTAAAGTTGAACCTCTTAGCTCGTGAATACTGGCAGAATGGTAGGATTCCGCAGCTGTGATTTTTGAGTTTAAATAATAACATCGTGCCTGGAAGTCAGGTCCAAGTCCACTTCCAAGTCCACGTCCTTGTTTTGGCACACTGTTTATCTGTGACCTCATTATTTTTTTCTTAATCTATGAAACAGACGCATTAAGGTAGATTCACTTCATACATCTATTGTCAGAAGAGGATTTAAAATTCCCTAGGGGAATGGGCCAAGCGTGGGCTTTAGATGGTGCAACATGTTAGCGACATCAGTCCATTATTGTTGCTATAGTCCAAAGATGACAACCGCAAACTTCTCTTACCAACTCAAATTCCAGTTTCTTCCTACCCTTTCTTCCGATTCTTTACTTTCCCTTTGGCTGATATTAGAAGCAGGAAGGGAGTACGGAAAGGCGCCAGGGGTTGGACCAGGGGAGAAAAAAAGCCCATCAGACCGGTTAATCGTGTCTGCGATTCTCTCCTTTGCTTCCAAGCGCTTCCAGCAGAAATGAGGATCCAGTTCAGGAATGGCCAAGGCCGGGGTCACAGCGACATATTTTACAGAGTAATCTGAGGTGCCGTCGCAGGTACTCGCCCAGAGACCCCTTCTTGCGTCGCGGTCAGGGACCCCCTCCAGGTTCCCCTAGAGAGTACGCTGTCTGCGCGCGGGCGCGTCCTCTGACAGAGCGCAGGCGTGCGCTCGGCGCCCGCGTTGTCCCTCGGCCCGCCGGAAGGAGCGGCGGCGCCAGCGTCCTGCCGCCTGTCCGTCACGCAACCGCCCACGCCGCCGCCGCTTCCGATTGGCCGCAGGGGCGGGCCAGGCCCCTTCCAGCTCCGCCTCCCGCGGATGGACAGGCCGGGAGGGCGGGGCGGTGGCGGGCGGGTCCGCCCAGCTGTCAGTTACGGGGGCGGCCCGGCAGGCGGGAGGGCGGGCGCTCGCTGGCTGCCTCTTTGCTCGCTCGCGCGCGCTCCCTCTCGCCGCCTGTGGGGAAGTCGGGGCAGCCTGAGCGGCCGCCGCTACAGCCTCGCCCCGACCTCCTCCCAGTCCTTTCCGGGCTCAGTCCCTCCCTCCCGCGTACCCCCGAGTACTGAGTGGCCCCGCAGAAGGTTTGGAGAGTCACCGGGGCGGCGCCGGGTGGTGTTTAAACCATGTTAAGGAGGATTTTGCAGAGGGTAAGAGAGTGAAACCGTCTTTCAGGAGCACGTGAGCGGGAGAGCCGGAGCCCGGGGCCGCGGAAGCCGCCGCCTCGCTGAGTAGCAGAGGCGGCGGCGGCGTGGCCGCCCCCTCTTCAGCGCCGGCCCCTTCCTTTAGGCCCCGCAGCCCAGGCGGCGATTAGGCCTCGGTCGTCTGCTCTGGGGGCGGGCCTCGGGGGGGCAGGGGGCGGGCGGGGCGGCGGCAGGGCAGCGGGCCGGGTCCCCCGCGGCCCCCGGCTCACAGGCCCGGGCCCCGCACCCGCGCGGGCTGTCAGTGCGAGCGGGCGGCCGGGCGGGAGGGTGTGGCGCCGGCGCGTTCCTTCCAGATTCTGGAATGGCAGTGAAAATGGAGAGTTAGTGCCCGCGGGTCCGGCCGGCCAGCCGCCCGCCGGGCTGGAGCACGCCGGGTGGGAGACCTCGGGAGGCTAGCTCGGCTCTTACCCCAGCGCCCCGCCCGGCGTGCCCCGCAACTTTACCCGACACGCACCTGCCTCACGCGGATTCGTAATCTCATCTGGGCAGCACTGCAGGGTAATGTGGTGAAACCCGGCCTAACGTTGGCCCAGTCGCTGTACCGACACTTAACTGGCTAAAGTCAGCTGCGAAGGAAGCTATTACTCACTGTTGGCAACTCCCCTACCCCACACACCCCCCATTTAAAAATGCGTTTTCCCCTCCCAGCCCGCTACCTTTTTGTTTGAGCCATGCAAGTATAGATCCGTTGTCAGCTTAATCCAACGGTACACTCCTTTACTTTCTGCCAGTGCTCTCTCTATGTCAAATCTGGAAAAGCCTGAAGATACAAAGATTAGAGCACTGGAAAGCTGTAGGTGTTTTGTTTAGGAATCAGTTCCTAGAATAACAAAATCTTTTCTATAGGAGTCACTGTTACTCAATTTTTTGTTTTGGTTAGCTTTTTTTCCCTCTTTTTCCCTTAATTTCCTTTTGAGACCGATGGGGTGCAACAAAATGTAAATGACTGAAAAGTTGGTGCCAAACCCATTAGTTGGTTACTGAGAGAGTAGGATAACTAGTTCCAAGGGCAAGAGGGGTTAGTGAACTTGTAGCATGCAGTCAAGGAATGTACCAAAGAGAGTTGAGTCATCCACTGTGTAGAAAGGGAGTGTCCTTGCTCCTGCATAGCTTTGGGAAATGTTCAAGTCATGTGGAACTTGGTCATATATCAGGGGTAGAAGTAGTTAACTTCTGTATCTTCCATCCTGTATTGACATTTGATGATTTTTTGCAATGTTTTGTCAGAGTTTTTTGAAATCTTGATAAGCGCTGATTTTGGCAGTAGCGAGGGCATGCCCTTTACTCTGGTCATCAGTTCCTGTGTTCAACATTAAAGACACCTGTGCGTGATTTACTTCCACTACTTAGAGATTTTTTCTCTTGTCAGACCTGACTGATTACCTCATGCCTCAGATTGTGTTTCCGTCGCATAATTCCACAGCTGAAAATTAGTTCGCCTGTGGTTTGCTTTATAGTTTATAAATAAAGTGTTTACTGACTTAAGAGTAGCTTCTATTAGTTGTAGATTAGTTTTCAGAAATATGGACTGCTTTCCGGTACTCTCGGTTTAATGTTGTTAAGCGTTACGATTATATAAAGATCATTTTGAGGGTTGGTGCATACACATCGATGGCTACAGAAGTTTCAGCTGAAACCACAAAATTGGAATTTATTCTGGTTATTGCTGAGGTATGGTAAGGAATCATCACACATGAATAAGTCAGTTGACAACTGAGTTTTTTAACCATGGAATTATTGGTATTTGTGACTGGATAATTCTTGGTTGTTGGGGGCTGTCCTTTGCACTGTAGGATATTGAGCAGCATCCCTGGCTTCTACCCACTAGATGTAGTAGCACCCCCAAGTCCCCTCCCCCATCTTGTGACAACCAAAAATATCTGAAGACTTTGCCAAATGTCACCTAGGGGCAAACTTGCCCTGGTTGAGACCACTGTCTTAAATTTATATACTCTTTTATAGGAAAGTTTGGATTGTTTCTCATCGTTAACCACTTAACTTCCTTTTTTTCAATGTCCTTATATTGAGTGTCAGTAAATGCAAAGCATCTGCTAGGGGCTGGGAACCAGTTAAATAAGATATGGGCCCGCCTTTTAGGACTCACAGCTGGTTGGGGAAGTGGACATTTAAAAATAATGGCAGTTCTTTGTAATAGAAGAATGAATAGTGCCTGGGGGCCACTTTGTGGGAGGGTTTTGGGGCAATCAGGAAAAGCTTCTGGGAGGAGGGCATATTTGCTGCAGGTTGGGCTGAGGGAACCGCAAATGCCTAGACAAGAAGTTGTAAAATGGGGCAAGTAATATTAAGGGGAATGTGAACATTTAAGTTTAGGGAGTGAAATGATATGCAGGGATTGGTGGGAGGTGAGGCTGCAGACGTGAGGCTCAGACCAGATCAGGAGAGGACTTAGAGCCACCTGGGAGGAGTTTGGCTCTTACAGATGGGTCACTGTTAATGCTCAGCATTTAATAGGGGTATTTGGATAAAGCCTTAAAGAAATCTTGTAATTTGTATTACTAGTATGAACTCCACAGGTGCTATTTACTAACAAGTATGACTTGAATCTTTAAATTATATAACATGGCAACCATTTAATTTTACCCCACCCTGATAATCTTATTTCTCAGCAGAGGTCATAAGATACAAGATTAAAACTAAGTTTGCTGATTTAGAGATTTGTTTGAAATGGTCTTCATGCTTTGAAATTAAGTCGCATACCTTTAGCATTCTGTTTTCATATGACCTTTTCATTTTACCTGTTGTAATTTTCTTCTGAATAGCGTCCTTTATTTTTTATATTTTTAAAATAAATTTATTTATCTATTTTTGGCTGCGTTGGGTCTTCATTGCTGCGCATAGGCTTTCTCTCTCGTCGCTGCGAGCGGGGGCTACTCTTCGTTGTGGTGCGGGGGCTTCTCATTGCGGTGGCTTCTCTTTGTTGCGGAGCACGGGCTCTAGGTGCTCGGGCTTCAGTAGTTGTGGCGCACGGGCTTAGTTGCTCCGCGGCATGTGGGGTCTTCCTGGACCAGGGCTTGAACCTCTGTCCCCTGCATTGGCAGTCGGATTCTTAACCACTGTGCCACCAGGGAAGTCCCTGAATAATTTCCTTTAAGTAGCATTTTTGAAAGAAGAAACAGACAGTGTGCTTTTAATCAGTTGTAACTCAGCATCTTTGAACATCACCGATAAGGTCCTAGGGTACTTTATAGAAAATTTAGTTTCTGGTTCTTTTTCTTTTTTCCATTAGCAACTAAAAGGTGTTTCTTTGAGGCTTGTAAGAATCTGAAAAAAAAAATTGGGGTAGCTGCAATATGTATGTATTGATTATTTTACTTAATAGGCTTTGAAGAGAAATGTGGATGTAAAGTGCTTCATGGCTGGAAAGACATCAGCATTTAGTACTTTAGGCAGTTTATAAACTTCTTTGCTATTTCTAAGATCCTTAAGTGTATTAGATTTCCTTTTATTGGTATATATCAATAAGATTGCTAAAGAAAAAAATGGGTTTAATTCTAGAATTGTGGAAATAGAAGGCTTCTTTTATGGGTAACGAGTCTCTGATTTTAAAAATGAGCAAGTAGGAAGTGAGAGATTGAGTGATTTATCTAAGGCAACACAGTTAGATGTCAAAGCTGAGACTAGAGGGCTTCCCTGGTGGCGCAGTGGTTGAGAGTACGCCTACTGATGCAGGGGACACGGGTTCGTGCCCCGGTCCGGGAAGATCCCACATGCCGCGGAGCGGCTGGGCCCGTGAGCCACGGCCGCTGGGCCTGCCTGTGTTGCTCCGCAACGGGAGAGGCCACAATGGTGAGAGGCCTGCGTACCGCAAAAAAAAACAACAAAAAAATAAAAAAAGCTGAGACTAGAGCCAAGTTTTCCCAACTCAATCCATTTCCTTTTTTTAGCACCTTGTTGCCCTTTCCTCCGCCACTCAACTCATATGGTTAGCACTATGCCAATGATTGTGGAAGATACGGGAAAAATACGAGATCTGACCTCTCTCTCAGGGAACTTATATGATTAAGTGCCAAAGTAAATTATATAGACAGTGAAGGCTGTAGTAATACAGAGGAGGACCAGTCAGACAGAATGAACCTGTTAGAGTGAAGTGTCTCCTTGGAGAAAATGGGCAAGAGATGGGGTTTTGAAAAGGTGATTAGGAGAGGAAGAGAGTTACTTTTATTCTAGGAAGGAGTTACAGTATAAACAAAGACTCAGGTGGGAATGATTTCATTCTTCCTGCCCTCCCTCCTGCCTTTGCTTGCATATTGCCTTTCAATAAACAAATGTTTATAACACTGGATATGTGCTAGATACTGGAGGTACAACAGTGAGTAAAACTGATCCTTACCCTTAAGTAGCTTAAAACCAAGTGACTTAGAGAGAGAGCTCTGTTTAGAGCAGAAAGAAATTGAGAGAGAAACTTATAGATAGTGTGACACCTCATTGTGGAGATTCTTGATCATCTAGCTCTAGTCCAATGCAAATAGGAATCACATATGTAATTTAAAGCTTCTAGTAGCCACATTTTAAAAAAGTGAAAAGAGGTGAAATTACTTTTTTTTTTGAAATTACTATTTAAAATATATTTCCTTTGACCCAATCTATCTAAAATATTTGAGCATATAGTCAATATAAAAGTTATTGAGATATCTTAAATATTATTGATGAGTTTTTTATAGTAAGTTTTTGAAATGTGTGTATTTTGCACTAACAGCACATCTGACTTTGTTATTTTTTTTAAAAATTATTTATTTATTTATTTATTGGCTGTATCGGGTGTTAGTTGCGGCACATGGGATCTTTCGTTGCTGTGCGTGGGCTCTTTGTTGCAGTGTGCGTGCTTCTCTCTAGTTGTGGCGCGCAGGCTTATTAGTCGTGGTGCGCGGGCTTAGTTACCCCGCGGTATGTGGGATCCCAATTCCCTGACCAGGGATCTAACCAGC